ACATCATAGAATGTAAAAAAATAATATTAATTTTTTTTTTAAAGTGTGTTTCAGAAAAGTTAATAGACAACTCACAAGAAAGGTTACTCAGTGCAGGAGAGGCTCTTAGGAGTTTGAACTTCTCTCTCTCACCAAACAGTCCTTCACTTTCTGTAAACTACACAAAGGATTCATTCAACACAGTTCAGAGGCTGAAAGTGAAAGTGACTCAGACTATTTTTGAAAAGGTCAAGAAAGTGCGCTTGCCAATTTTCAAATTTCTCTGAAATCTTTTCCTGTGAATATCACCACTGAAAGCCTGCAGTCCCTGGAGCTGTGACTGATGACATAGTGATTTCCCTTTTTCTCTTAGAAGGTCCAGCACACGCCGTGTGAACAGGCTCACAAGACCACGTTCAGAGAATATTTTACACACCAGTCTTTTTAAATGCTTCAGGGGACCAAAGCATTTAAAGGCACCTTGGCAGCAAGATATCACTGTTGGCAACGAGACGTCAGAGATGGACTGAAGCCTGGGCAGGAGGCCCACCCTATTCTCAGCCCGGCCACGGCTCACCCTCCAGTGTCCGCTCTGCCAGGGTGAGGCAGAAGGTGGCCACGTGAAACCCAGAATGGTGGTGAGAAAATGGACTGCTTTTCTCAGGGCAATCTGCCCACCCTGACCCCAAAATTGGTATAAACACAGCATTCAGGCATGATGATAATTTTTCTCAAAATATTTAAGGAACTAAAATTCCTTAAACTGTGGTTTGTCCCAAGGGCCACAGTAGTTAACCAGATAGATCTTAGGCAGATACCTAATTTCTTTGTCTCTAGGACCCAACCCACCTTTTACCTCTACTATCAGTTGACCTAACGAAGAAACAGGGCAAATACATAGGGCAAGGATTTATTGAGCCAACGTGACGACTGCAACCTGGGAGACATACAGATCAGGTCACCCTGAAAATATACTACGAAGAGGGCTAGCAGAGCTTAGCATTTTATAATTACAAGAAGTGGGGACAGTCAAAGGAAAGAGAGAGAGGACAGCCCTGCCTAATCACTTAGGCTTGCTACTGGCTATACTACATACAGATTTAGGATTGCTTCTAGGTTACATCCTACATGCAGGGATCTAGGGGAAGCATTCTAGGTGATCTTATGGCTTTCTGGCACCGTTACGTCTGCTTCTAAGTAAAATAGTCTTATGGTAAAGTTTTCCAGGACAGGTGGACGTGATTACTGACTTAACCCAGATCTCCCATGACGCTATAAATTAGTTGATCTGGTCAGAACAGATTCTTTTGATTATTGTTTACCCGCTTTGTATAAAAAACCTTCCATCTGAAAGCACTGAGGATCCACTCAGGTAGCCATTTCAGTCCCTCACTGCTGGGAAGGCTCATTTCCAGAAGGTCACGTCCCACGTGGGATGGGAAGAAGCTGGGCTCTGGCCTCTAGGTCTAAGCTGGAATTTTAAGCAATGTGGGAGTTGGGATGGGACAGTAGTCAGACCCTTTCATTCTTGGCAAACCTGAAAAACTTGACAGCAGCCCTTGTTGCATATCTGATAGGACACGTTGCAGTGGCCTAGGCCTGGGAAAACAAGTATTAAAACAAGAGTCCAACTTTGCAAGTAATCTGGCACATGGCCTGGTCAGCATGTGAACTAAGACATGAGACCCACGGTCTGACAAGAGCCTAAGACTAGAATTCCCCAGAGTGAAGGTCCAAAGGTTTCAGCAACGCTGATCATGGAGTTGCCATCTGGTCATGTCTGGAGTCTTGCGTAAAGCTGCCCCCCCCTCCCCCGATGCCACTGTCCTTTCATCCCGGTTGGAATAGTGAGGTTTCTGGCCTTGCGTTAGCTCCAGCTGAAGATCTGCAGTAATGGAGGACGACCACTCAGGAGGATTCTGTCTCTTTAAAATGAGAAACATGAATCCATGAGTCAAGGTCTTTAAGCTTAGCCGCATAGGGACTGGTTAACAACACCTGACATGGTCCCTTCCAACGTGGCTGCAGGGAGTTTATTTGATGACATTTTTCATAAACAAAATCCCATATCTCTGTCTTCTGGGATCTTGCTGTGGAAGGAGTCCTTCGCTAATTTAGAATTTTTAGTGAGGAGCTTTATAAGGCCCTGGCAGTAATGAAGAGTATCACCTTTCAGAAGGGCTGATTTGTGAAGTCACTTATCTAGGCGCACAGATCTACCCGCTGCTATTCCAACGGTGAAAAGCTGGTGCATTTGAAGTGGGGTAGCACACAAGTTAAGTGATACCAAAGAAAGAGCTCTGGCCATGTACTGTAAATGCATCATGTCTCCTATGGAACCCAAAGGGGACTCCGCTGGGAGGGATATTTATGAAAATTCAGGATTCAGTTTTGATAAAAACTCAGAAAACAATGGACAGGGCTAGAGTTTAATAACAGGTGTACTACAGGCTTTTTTTCTAAAACATAACATCTCTCTAGGGTCCCATCTTTTCTGCTGTGACACATTATATCACATATACAGCTATTCTTTAATACACTATGAGAAAATAATTTTTGTTATTTTCATAAACCCCAATAAATACTGACATACGTATTAGTTAATATTTAACTAGGTTAGTAGACAAATGATGGCATATTACTATTTTTAAATGTCTGCCTGCCAGGATCTTTGGACCTCAAATAAGAGCAAACATGCGGCACGCCACCAGAAGTGGAGGTTAAGGTCAAATGAGAAAAAGGGCCAACAGCAGCCAGCGACAAGCCCCTGTGAAAGTGGCATTTTCCGTAAGCGCTGCATCCATGAATTAACACTCCACCACTGTGGCCAGTCTGCAAAGTACTCCACTGAGTGCCACCGGAAAATTAACTTGTGACGAGCCAAAGTTTTTTAAAAGAAACCTAATTGATGGGAAGAGCAGATCCATTGTTACTGAAAATAAACACAAACGTGAAAGGACCCTTTAAATCATAGATGATTTCTCTTATTCCAGCAATTATTTAGAGCTCTTCTCCTGCCTCAGAACTTCAGTGACTTAGAGACCTCTTTCTTTCATAGGTAAGTTATAAATTAGCCAGGACTAACTTACTTCAGAAGCAGTAGGTCTCATGCTGAGATACACCAAAATGTTTTTCCTCTTTAGTTCGCTTTCATCCTTTGACTTACAGCTGTGCTTGACCAATGGTCCTCCCTGAGAGTCTTCTTGAACCTACTCTGAACACAGGGATATATCCACTGCATTTCCAGCTAGATGCACAAACGCTCCAGGAACCGCAGGAGGAAAGACAAAAGGAGCTGCTCGCAGCCCAGCCTGCCCAGGCACCCTCTGCAAGCGCACGGCCCCGCCCCGCCCCGCCCCTCCGCAAGCTCCAGCTGCTTGAGCTGGGGAACAGCGGGACCAACGCATCAGCAAGGCTGCTCTGCTGAAAAGAAAATCCAGGTAAAGGCAGACATTTACACAGAGAATTGGACACTTTTTTTCTTACTGTAATATTTGAAGTCACTACAGGACTTCGCTTTCATATACATTCCACTGACAATTAATACTTATTAGGAAATTAAATGGTGCTCAATCAGCAACAGAAGACTAGACTATCAGTCCAAGTCAGGGCAAGTCCTTCAGCACAGGCTTAATAACTTTTTTCCAATTAACATAATTATTGCCTGCTCAGTTAAAACAGAAGCGGTATTTTAGCAAAGACACGACAAAGCAGTCCTGAAACCTTTAAAAGACTATGAAAACAAGCCCCAGCACTTCATTTGCAAATTATGATGCATGAAATAAACAGCTCAGCAAGTTTTATCAGTAAACAAGAGTGCATGACATCAGATAAAACCACCAGAGAGCCAAGTATGAATTTTAACAACTCCCTTTTATATTCCAGCTATCACCTGAGTAATCATAAACTGCACAGTCTCAGCACCTAAGGTGATAAAGAAAACAGACACAGTGTACAAGACACTAAGTGAAGATGGTAAAGAAGGCTGCCTGCCTTTGTCAGGATAAACTTCAGCTAAGGGCCAGTCCACATTTGCCTCTTGCAAGAATTTCAGAGTTGAGATTGAGAGGTGAATTCCCTAAATTAAAAGATAAGAGCTTCATGATTTTAAAAATTAAAAGGCTACATGGGCTGGCCACTTAGCTCAGTTGGTTAGAGCAAAAAAAAAAAAAAATTAAAAGGCTACATGCATTCAAACAGCAATAAAGTCACTGCGGTGAGGATATAAATCCACAATAAAACAGGCAGCCCCCCAGTATGCCAAACCTTGAAATGAGGGTACTTTCGGGACGCACGTGGACGGCCCAACAATGAAGCATGGCTGCAGTGCTCAGAGGACAGTGGGGCACTCCAGCCGTCCTGCCTCCAGCACTACAGACGCAGGGGTGGGCATGAACTCGGAAGGCAGTCTGGACTGATAAAATGAATGCATAGTAAAGCCACCTCCAGTTGTTTGAGGGCATTGTAACCAGTCAATTCTACAGCGCACGACTCTTCACACATGTCACACCTATGCCCCTCCCCCAGGCATGCCCCCCGAGACCCAGCGTTTACAGGTGCTTTGCCTGGCCATGAGTAGACAGACATTATGTGTCTGTTATAAGAAGAGAAAGAGTGTTGTGTTTACCACTTTTTCTTACAAAAACCAAACGCAAATACCCCGGGTAAAGAAACAGAACAGTCTCCATGTTACTGTCGATCCATGACCCCAGCCATTTCTATATTCCACTCGGGTGGATCATTTTCTTTCTCCCTTTCTGAATCGGCCCGGCCCTTGTCAGACAAGGAGGCCAGGCCACTTGCTGGGAGGTCTTAGAAGTGCAACACTATCAGGCCTGTACTGGTTTCACAAGCTCCTCAGCCCCAGTCGCTGACTGGATTAGTTCTCCAACTCCATACTGTATTCTAGGACTATTTAAAGAGGTCACGTGATAGAATAAGCAAGTTAAGGGTTTCTTCTAAAATCCAACATGCAATGATTTATTCAATTCAAAAAGAATGGGGTAATAAAATTTTCCAAGTTTGTTTTTCACTAATTTTATTTATGTTAGGTAGTTTTCACTCAGAATATCTATCAATTCATTTTTCAGGTTGAGATGTATATATGTGCGTCTGTTCCTATGTATATAATCACTTAGAAACTTTATTTGGTATAACTTCACATTTTTGGTATACAGAAATAATTTATTTTCTTAATGGAGCACAGTAGACATACAATCAATATTATTTCCTAGAATATGCAATATATAAATTATTCACATTAAAAAATTAAGAACAGAAGCTTCATACACAGGAAATATTTTTAAATGTATACCCAATTCTGACAATATACACTACTAGCTTTATAAATATGAATGAATATGACATTTACACATTTGAATGAAGTACACGGGTCCACTCCAGATGCTTAATACACTACATGAACAATTTGCTCTTCACTTTGGTCGCTGAGATTCCATGTGCTGAGGCATATAGCGGACCTGAAAGATACGTCCAGCAGTATGGTTACCACACTGGCATTTTACGAATGTCTGTTTCTTCTATTCTCCTTTATAGCGAGGAGGCCTTTTCTCTTTAAAAGCAAGAAGACCTTCTAGTCTGTCTTTCGTTGGAATGGTCTAAGAAAAGCAAAATATTAATATTATA